TCGTCATCATCACAATCATCACAATCATCATCAGCATCATCATCGTCATCATCGTCATCGTCATCATCATCATCATCATCATCATCATCATCATCATCATCATCATCATCATCATCAGCATCAGCATCAGCATCATCATCCTGCTCCTCCCTCTCCTTCTCCTTCTATCCTGCCTACTTCTCCTGCTCCTACTGCTCTTGCAGCTCCTTCTGCTCCTCCTGATCCTCCTCCTCCTCCTCCTCCTCATCATGGTCTTCCTCGTGGAGCTCCTCCTCCTCCTCCTCCTCTTCCCCATCCTCCTCCTCCTCCTCCTCCTCCTCCTCCTCATCTTCATCTTCCTCCTCCTCTTCCTCCTCCTCCTCCTCCTCATCATCATCATCATCGTCATCATCATCACCACTACCACAACTACCACACCAACCACTGCCACCATCATCACCGATATCATCATTCACATAATCATCGCACTCGTCCTCCTCCTCCTCCTCCTCCTCCTCCTGCTCCTACTCCTCCTCTCCTTCCTGTCCTCCTCCTAGACCTCCTCCACCGCTGCTGCTGCTTGCTGCTGCATGCTCTCATTCGCTCTCCTCTCATCTGCCACCGTCCCTTCCAACTCCCCCATCCTCATCCTCTCATCTTTGCTTCCTCTCATTCCCGCCTCGTCCTCCAGCTCTTCCTCCCTCCTCCTCCTCGTTTTCTCATCCTCCTCCAGCTCCTCTTCCTTCCTCAACCTTACTATTCCCTCCCTCCTTCTTCCGCATCTCATATCCTCCTACTTCCTCCTTCCTCTCTTCCTCCTCCTCCTCTTCCTCCTCCTCCTCTTCCTCCTCTTCCTCCTCCACCTCCCTCTCCTCATCCTCCTGCTCCTCCTCCTTCTCCTCCGACTCATCATCACCAACACCACCACCAACATTATTATCAGCATCAGTATCATCATCATCCTCATCATCATCAGCAGCAGCATCATCAGCATCATCATCATCATCATCACCAACGACATCATCATCAGCAGCAGCAGCTGCATCAGCAGCAGCAGCTGCATCAGCATCAGCATCAGCATCAGCATCATCAGCATCATCATCATCATCATCATCATCATCATCATCATCAGGATCATCATCATCATCATCATCATCATCATCATCATCATCATCATCATCATCAACATCATCATCAGTATCATCATCATCAGCATCATCATCATCATGACCATCATGATCACCGTCATCAGCAGCATCATCATCAGCAGCATCGTCCGCAACGTCATCATCAGCAGCATCGCCATCATCATCATCATCATCATCATCATCATCATCATCATCAGCATCAGCAATATCAGCATTATCATCATCGTCATCATCATCATCATCTTTGAAAGTAGCATCATCATCACCACCACCATAACCATCATCACCACCATCATCATCAGCAGCATCCTCAGCATCATCATATAGATCATCATCATCGTCATCATCACCATCATCATCATTCTCATCATCGCCGTCATCATCACAATCATCATCATCACCATCATCATCACCATCATCCTCATCCTCATCATCATCACCAGCAGCAGCATCTGCATCATCACCATCATCATCATCACCATCATCATCATCGTCATCAGCATCATCATCTGCATCATCATCATATGCATCATCATCATCATCATCACCCTACTCTTCCTCCTCCTCCTCATCTTCCTCCTTCGTCTCGCTCTCCTCCTTCTCCACCCTACCTCAAAATCTGGTCGGTGGGCTCTCCTGGCGCGCGCTTCAACAAGGACGTCCAAACGAATCCACCTTTGCCGACAAGGACGTTTAAGAAGGCCCCGAGTCCAACTCCGACTCACCCTCATGCTCCTCCTTCTCCTCCTCCTCCTTATGCTCCTCCTTGTCCTTCCCTCCTCCTCGTCCTGCTCGTACTGATTGTGTCCCTGATCTCTGCACCCTGCGCTTCCTCCGCCTCTTCCTCCTCCTCCTCCTCTTCCTCCTCCTCCTCCTCATCATCATTATCATCATGATCATGATCACCATCATCATCATCATCATCATCACCATCATCATCATCATCACCATCATCACCATCGTTCCCATCACCACCAGCACCACCACCACAGACACCATCAGCCCATATAACAATCATCATCACTACCATCGCCACCACCACAATCGTCAGCATGATCCGCCGACCCCTTGATGGTCTGTAGGCGTGTGAGATTCCTCCCTCCCTGGAAGCCCCACCCCTGGGAGTGTCCTGATTTGCCGTGGCGGTGTCGGGCTGCTGGCCCTTGCGGTACTGCTTGTATTCAACTTGCCACGGTGGCCAGGGAGCGGAGCCGTCGTCTGCTCTGGTATCTTTGCATGTGCTCTCGTTGTGAGTCTGGTTGGTGTTGTGCTGGTCGGTTGCTGGCGTGGTTAGCGTCTCGTCGGGGTTTCGCTGCTGGTAAATGTTTGTGCTTGTCACCCGTGCCGGTCTCTCCCGCGAGGCTCTCTGCCGGCTTGGTCTGGCTGCCGGCGTCGGTCATGGCCAATGATGCCGTTATCGGTGGGTCGGTGCTGTTCAACGCGCTGGTGTCGGCTGCTGGATTGGTCAATGCTTGTTGGTTGTGGGGCTACCTCTGCAGCGCTGCGAGGTCTCTCAAGGGTGCCCATCTGTTGCGTCTTGCGAGCTCCTGGGTCTGGTTGCGCTCGCCTGTCTGTGTCGGTTGCACCTGCTGAGGTGGGTCCGTCGGTTGCTGGTCATCTGGTGGGTAGGCTTGTCGGTCGGTTGCTGGGTCGGAGTTGACGTTAGCTGGGGTTGGCTTGCGCTTGCGGCTGGGCCGATTATTATTGCTCTATGTTGCTGTCATTCGCTGGGTTGTTTGATCGTAGGTCCAGTGCGTTGATCGGCTCGGTTATCTTTTGCATGGCTACTGTCGCGGTTATGCTCTAGAAACGCGTAAATGGAAATGGCGTTGGCATGGATATCGGGTTGTAGCGGATGGCCAGCTTGATTGACATGAACATGCTCCGCTGCTGTGTAGCCATAGCGCCTGGTGTCGGCACGTCGTCAGAGTCGTCGTCGATCTTGTAGGTCAGCATCACTGCTAGCTGCTTCTCCTCCTCCTCCTCCTCCTCCTCCTGCCTCCTGCGTCCTGCCACCCCTCCCGTGCTGAGATCCTCCACGCAGTCCCCGGGCGCCAGCGGGGCGTCCCCGGCAGAGGCCACCGAGAGCCTCCTGTCGCAGAAGTCCTGGCGCGGGCCGCCGCCGCGGCCGTCGGCCGCCTTCGTCTTCGTCCGCCCTCCGCCCTCCGGCGGAGGGCGGAGGGCCTCCGCCCTCCGCCCTCCGCCCTCCTCCGCCCTCCGCAATCCTCCTGCTCCCTCCTCCTGCTCCCTCCTCCTCCTCCTCCTCCTCCTCCTCCTCCTCCTCCTCCTTCTTTTTCTTCCTTCTTCCCGCAGCCCTAGGGGACCAATGTCTGAGGTGTCCACGCATGCATACGTCAGCGGTGAGGTAGGCGGCAAGTGTAGCGGTGGACGAGGAGAGCAGCAATGGCCAGCATCAACCCGACTCGCAATACAAATCGAGCGGGGCATACAGATGGGCAACTGACGCCTCCAGCCATGCATCCCCAGGAGGCGTGGGGGCACAGCGTTGTGAGGCTGCCTGCGTGATGACAGCAGCTGCGTAGACTTCGATCTGGCTGCTGTCAGTAGGGGCCATGATCGGCATGGCATTCATGCACAGGCACTGACGGTCCCCCATGGGCTCACATCTCGACGTGATCGTCGGGGACGTATCTTGCAGGGAACATAGGAACCTGACCTCGGGGACCTTCCACATGCAGGGGAGATTGGCTTGCGGAGCAGGTGGGTTTAAAAAGAGCAACACCGCCAGGCCCGAGGCCGCCGCACACAGCGCAAGCGTCAGTGCCGCCCTCAAACCGGCATTGTCGAGCTCCAGCTGCTTCCACTCCGAGGGCGACCTGGCAGAAATTCCCCAAGGCTCATCGCAACTCCTTAAAGGCCTGCACTCACCTCCCTTGACTTTGCAGCGGGGGGTGGGGTCCCACGAGGAAAGGAAGAAATCCGCCACGAGTCCAATGACACGCCCAGCAAGAATGAGATCATTAATGAGCGATAGCTCCTTATGGAGTCCCTCAGTGGAGTCCTGAAAAAGCTCGCGAATATTAATAGACAAAACAAACACATTCATGCCCACCATGGCACTGGACTTCTCCGCTCTGTCCTGGATGTCACCTTGACTCCTGGGAGCTGCACGGAGGATCACAATGTATTTAGTGCCAGGGGCCACAGGCATGTGGACCTCTGCCTGCGTGGGCATCTCTTCCTGGATGCATACTGGTTGGCACGAAATTCTCGGCATGCAAGTGGGAAGGCCCTTGGAGGCAGCCGCTCCCCTCAGCCTAGGTCCCATCGTGAGGACAGGCGGGAGCTGCGCGGACTCCGCATAGTGGCCTTTCTCGCGGAGCGTGCGTGCTAGCTCCGCGTCCTCCGCCTTAGCCGCCATCAGTTGTTCGGGGCTCATCGGTGCGATGACGGCCATAAGGTCCGCCAGGCATTTCGATGAGCCATGCCGAACGTGTTTAAGCAATCTAAGATGCGTGTGGAAGTTGAGACCGCAAGCCATGCACACAGTGCCTGAAGCGTAGCTGGGGGCGGGATCTAGGTGGGGGTGGCACTTCGAGCGATGGGAGGCCCAAGCGCCCTTGGTGGCCAACACCGCCCCACAGTCCAAGCAGGGATACAAGGCAAGAACCGACGGCGGACGCAGAAACGACGGGAGCGCAAGACCCTTGGAGATGCAACACTTTCGCCACCCGTCTTTGAATTCTTCATGGCGCTGATCGTCCAAAAATTTGGCCCTGGCAGCCGATTCAGCTTGCTTGCAAATTCGCTTCCAGAACTTGTTGCTGCTAGACCTCAGGAGCCACAGCCACCAAGCCGGGGGCCCTGACGGTAAGAATGCCCTGTCCAGATTCACGTGTCTGCTGAGCCATATCAGGTCATCGCAACACAATGCGGACCATGATTCAGGCACAGAGGCTAACTCGCCCAGGATCGCCAGCAGACACGCAGGCGCCGATTTGAGAAGCCTGGGAAGAAATCGCAGCCGCCTGAGCCTCAATACCAGCTCGACGGGCAAGATCTCACACTTGGCAAAAACTCTATGGTCTGCAGCAGCCTTGCCAGAGCCAGCGTCGTACCCAAGCCCAGCCGCCAATCTAAACGGGCTCAAATAGTTGTGGGCAAGGGTCGCCATCTGTTTCACGTTTAACTTGTGCCAGGTGAGGGCATTATACAGAAGGTGCGACGTGCACAAAGACGTAACAAAAATTAACTTGGCCCTTACATTGACTTGCTTCCTGGGAAAAACAGTGCGCCTCAGTACCCCTAGGGGACGTCGCTGCTGATGACAACGGTGCGCCAGCTCAGGTCCCAGAGAAATTTGATGGTCCTGGTAACTTCCCAAGTGTTTGTAGGTTCTAGTGAGGCACAGGGAGACACCTAAGGAGGGGACGAGAAGGCCAGTGGCAGCCAAGGCTGCGCACTCCCCTCGTGCCTTCCTGGAACCTGTGCCGCTGAAGAAGGCCATGAGCTCCGTCTTGCCCGCCTTCCAGTTCATGGTGAACCCCCTAGACTTGGTTTCTTCGTACATGATCGTGACGAGGGCGATGGCCGCCTCCTTCCAGAGCCTAGCGTCTAACAGCTCGATGCCGTTGACGAGGTCATCCATGAAGGCAGGATCCCATACGTCTTCTTCTACATGTTCGTGATCACGTCCTCTGAAAATCCTCTGAGACGGGACCACATCCTTAGTCCTCTGAAGATATCCCAGGGAAGCTAATCTACTGTTGACCGCGATGATGATTGGGTCGAAGGCTATGATGAACAGGAGGTCTGCTAGTGGCATGCCTGGCCTCGTACCTAGGCGGGGGGAGACGACCCTGGTACTCCCCCGCACTTGGAACCAGTTGCGTTCCATCACATCAACCACTGCTTCCAGAAGGTGCTTACTTCTTAGTCCGTCTAGGGCTCCAGGCTTGGCGACTAGGGCATGGCACAGGGGCTCCAGACAACTAGGTATCTCCAAGCCCGTTAGCGTGCTCTGGATGTCCTCACTGCTCTGGGCCATTCTGGCAACGAACCCTCGGATGACCGAGTAGAATGCCGCCTTTAGGTCGGTGTACAGCGACAAGTATGTGCGCTTCCTAGCCTTGGCAGCCAACATGGCCGACCGAAGATGTAAGGATGCAATGTCAGTGCCGCGCTGAGGGAGAGCTCCCTGCTGGACCACCGACAGCATGTTCATCGTTGCCTCTAGAAGTTTACTCCTGAGGAAGGCATGGTGCAACTTCGCCGTGTGGCATCCCAGCAGGATGCCTCTGTAGTGCTCCAGGGGTTCGGGGGACCCAGATTTGTGTAGATCACATTGCCAACCTCCTTTGAACAGCAGGGGCTCTCTGGACGCCATGTCAACTTTCACGAACAACGGCAGCAATATCTGAGTGCCTTCTTGCGGAGCGACCTGGAAAAGATCATTGCTTAGCCCGTCAGGCCCAGCACCTCTCCTCTTGGCTGCCTTCATGATGTCGTGCTTGAGCCTGCGGAAGGGGGTGATCATGTCCAACTCCCTGGGATACACATTTCCACGCTCAGGGAGGGCGTTGTATCTCTCAACCAGTTCTTCCCAGCTGAGTGCCTGCCCATTCTCAATCACAGTGAAATAATCAGTGAGGGCCTCCGAGAGATCTCCAGATGTGGCAAGAACCTCGCCCTGAGAACCTCGTCGTATCCTAAGCCCGTCGACTTGGAACTTGGAGCGCTTTCCCCCAAACCTTTGCAGCTGGTACAGCACTCTCCACTCCACTCTACTCTCGTTTGAGGACCTAGCATTGCACAACTGCTGCGCAAGGTCATCTAACAGTTCATTGCGCGAGAGCTTCAAGGCCCTTCTCAGGGCCGGCTTCGACTTGACCAGGAACTCAAGCATGTGCGCGGCTAGCTCGCTTGCCGCCAAGATCTGCTTATCCCACTCAGCGAAAGCCTGGAAAAGCTCAGAGACCAGGAGGTCCAGCTCGAGATCGGTGATGTTCTGGGGGGCCCCCGCTTCCAGCGCCGCGGCGACCAGCCTCCTGAGCCCATTAGAGTCCTGCTTACCCCAGAGACGCCACGCCTGCCGTACTTGCCTTCTGAAGATGATAATGTCCAGAAGAGCCTCTGAAACATATGGCCTGATCGGAGTACGCGCGGGTTTAGGGAAGCAAGCTTGTGCACCCACGGACATGTATTGAATGATGTCGTGCAAGTGCTGATTCATGTCGACCTGGTGAGGCACCGTGGGAAACGCTGCCAGGTGCATCCTGAAGGCTGCTGCTTTATCAGGGCCCTGGGTGCCCCTAGCGTCGTAGCCGCTCTGTTGTTGCGCTGCTTTGGTGGAGCCCTGGGACTCGAAGCGCATGAATACAGGATAATGATCCTTGCCAGTGCAAAAGGAATCAATATCATATCGTACTTGATGTTGCCCCAATGCGGGAATCATGTCCTGTTCAACCGCAATGTAGTCTATTCTGTGTGGTGTTTCCGACTTCGTCGAGACAAACGTGTACGAGTCCTTGCTGAGAGAGGGGACTAGCGTGTTAGCCGCAGCTAAGCCCGTCTCCAAGAGCATGTCATGAAGCAGCCCGCCCGATTCGTCCTCATCTTGCCTGAATCCTTCGCTGCCCACTGCCTCAGACACAATGCTGCCGAGCCTGGCATTCGCGTCCAGGAAGGCCAACTGTACTTTCCATTTATGGCAGATCCCAATGAGGTCCTGCCACCACTGTTTCCTCTGCTGCGAGGTATACTCGTCACCGTTGTGCAGCGCATGGGCAACTAGGATGACCTTCCTAAAGAGTGGGGCACAGCAGCCAACCACCAGGTGCCTCTGGGTAGCGTACAACGGTCTAAAATGTTTCTGCTCAAAGAAAAGCTCCTCGCCCCCTCGTCGCCCGTAGGGTAGGTGCAGTGAGACCCAAAGCTCGACACCCAAGTTCTTGCCACCATCGGAACCCGAGGAAAGCACAAAGTATCCAGCAGAACATCTCTCCCCCGACGGATTCCTCGCCTCCTGCACCCCAATGATGTGGCACTGCTCTTGAGCGAACTGCAACCTGAGAACCTCTCCCGACGTTTTGGCGCGCCTTGCCGCCGTGGCCTCCGCGTCCCTGCCTGTCTTGGCGTTGAAGGTG